TATCCTGCTACTGGTAACATAAAACCCAGTACAACTTGCTTCATGTAGGATACACTTTTTTAGGCAAAGGCTAGGAAAAGCCGACTCCAACTTAAATCATCCACTCCCTTGAGGCTTTTGGTTAAGTAAAGGCTAGAGGTTGTGTCTTAATAAAAGTACTCTACTTGGGCAGATGTTAAATAGATTTGGCTACTGTCTTGTAAAAGGCCTCCTAGGCAAAGACTTAAGGGGTAAGCAGATTCTATCTGTTGAACAATCTCGCACTCCTTCATCTATTAAACTGGCATAGATGTATTTATAATACATTGTTTCCAGTTTAGGATGTTAAATGTTGGATCTTCTTGACTCAATGCAAGAGATTTGCTTGTGTCTCTGTTTTATGACTAGGCAACTCATTCTATTTTCTCCTAATGAGGATACAGCTCTAAAACTCATTTTTATGGTTCTGAGGCTGGCTGATAGTCAGGTTTTCCGAATTTGGTGGTAGCTTTCAGATAGGCAGACTCCATCAACAGTTGTAAAGTGTCAGAGTACTAACTGTACCATGTTGTGCATGGGTGGTGTCCCTGTTTATACTTTCACCCATTTGTAAGGAAACTAGGTTTGAATCCACAGACTGTTCTTTTATGTGTTTTGTTTGAGCACCACTTCACTCTACCATTTCCTCTTTGTTATCACTTTCCCTCATATCAAGACTGAGTGAATGAGACTGCACTCTTTTCAATATTATTTCTGATCAAATTGAACAAGCCCTTTCTATTTATCTTTCAGCCAATATCATTGTTGTTGGTGACTTTAATGCTTATCACACTGAATGGCTTGACTCTAATGTCAGTGACTCTGCAGGCATTAAAGCCCACAACCTTTGTCTTTCTCAATCTCTATTACAAATAGTCAACTTTCCAACTTGCTTTCCAGACAATCCGAATCATTTACCTTCTCTACTCAACTTGTGTCTTGTTTCTAACCCTAGTCAGTGCTCAGTTTCTCCGCATTCACAAGTGTTTCTAATTACAAAAGAAAAATGTGCTTCTTATGTAACATCTTGGATTCAGGCTGGCATGGAATCTGGCTGGTGAACTTTAACTCAATTTTTTCGACTAATCGTTGTTGCAATAATCTAGATCTTCCTATATTTATGAACAGTAATGTACTCAATGAGTAACTACGGGTCAGGGTAGCAACATCAGTTTTTGCCATGTTTCGTAACATCTGTCCAACAACATCAGTCTTACAACATCTGTAAATATAATGAGGTATAATAACATCTGTCCAATAAGATCTGAAATTTTATTGATGTCTAATAACATCACTGTGTAAAAATTGAATGAATATTACAGATGTAGCTACATCTTTTAAATTATCAAAGTGTAATAACATCTGTACGACTACATCTGTGGATTCTACAGATGTAGTTACATCTTTTAAACTAACAAAGTGTAATAACATTTGTGCAAGTACGTCTTTGGATTTTACAGATGTAGTTATGCCTTTTAAACTATCAAAGTCTAATAACATCTGTGCAACTACATCTGTAGATTTTAAGATCAAGTTATTTTTAAGATGAATTAACTAATAATGCATTATTTTAACCAGATGTTATTATATATAGAAACTTTTTCAGATGTTACAACATCTGGAAAAAAATATTAACTAATAAAATTATTTAAAAAATATCAACTAATAATGCATTTTTTTAATCAGATCTAGTTACATATAGAATTTTTTTCCGATGTAACTACATCTGGAGAAAATTCTTCCAGATGTTATTGGAGCCAGATGTATTTACATCTTTTTAAAGATGCTGTTAAGGGTTGTTGAATTTTCAGATGATATAGGATAGATGTTATTAGAGTAAATGAAAAATACAGATCTTGGACAAAAGTGTATAAATAATCTTGGACTGCTCTTTTCTATAATAACTATAAATACTATGAGGTTGCGCCTCTTGTGCCATCTACTAAAATTCATTCTTGTGTTACTCACCATTCAATTAAGTCTTATACTGTGATTGTTCTTAAGTGCTCCAAAAATTTTTACTCATCTAGTTTTTTTTCTCGAATCCTTTGGAATTCGCTCCCTTCATCTTGTTTTACTGATTTATATAACTTGCAATCTTTTAGGTTATCTGTTAATCGTTATCTTGCTCTATAAACTTCATCTTTTCTTTTGAAGTAACTTCCACATCTAATAGTGGTTGCTTGCAGCCTTGTTGGAAGCCAAGATGTTAAAAAAAAAACACTTTAAAATTGTTTTGTATTTCTGATCACATGTCACAAAAACTATTCAATGTATGTTTTCATTTAGTGCTGTTATCAAAGTAATAAAACATGTCCACTAAAAAGTCACCAACATCAAATCCTATTGCTTTAGTAAATGCATTTGATTATGCTTTTTCAGTATTGTAAATAAATTGATAGGGACATCCCAATGTTTACATGTGAATAATTCCTTGTGTTTTCCAATGTTCATAGAGGTATTGTCTAAACTTAAGCCAATGCAGTTTTCCCAGGAAATTCTTTATTTTTCAAAGATATCTGACACCTTTTGGAAAATTCCAAAAAGCATTATAATTGATACATGCTATTTTTATTGCTGCACAGCATTTTGATGCTATCATTTTTATTACCTTTTTATTATTTTGCTGCACAGCACAGCATTTTGCTGCTATCTAACTGTCAGGAAACATATTCCTGAAAATAGGACTTGCATGTGATGAGCACTTAAATGGCAAATTATGCTCTAGAATAAAACCAGTAAACAAAACTTCTGCATTTGTAACAGATTTAACTTCAGTTCTGCCACTTGCAAAAAAATAATTGATTGGTTTAGTTGCTGCTACATCTTTAGCTGCCTTCTTATGCTAAAGATCGCCAACATGCCTAGTAATATCCAATAGTCCTTGGTGGTGAATATTGAAAGAACAGTCACATATCTGAAATAAAAAAATCAACTATTAACTATTGTGTAACCTAAAGTTAATATTAATTTCCTATATATTAAAAATTGCGACATTTGAGTAAAAAAGTACCTACTTAGTACTAAACTTAACTTTGTTTATTAAAACATAGTATTTCAAAACTTTGCTAATTATATGGAACATTAATTTTATAGCAAACTAAAGTTTGGAACTTTAATTGACATTTTTGGCTTTAGGATTGTTCCCCAACAACTTTAAGATATATAGACTTTTAGTACAACAAAATTGAAATTACATTTTATACTTACTGTGCATTTAGCTTTGACTTCGTTTATAAGCTGAATAAAAGGAAATAGTGTGCTCCAAGCTCTTTTAAAGGAACAAGACGAATGCTTTCATTTCTTCAATTCATTTGACACCATAAATTTTTAAATTAGTACCAAAACTAAATCTTTATTTTGAGAACAGTTAAAACCAAATCAATAAATAATTGGTATTATACGTAAATTATTTAATTATAAAGTTAGGTATTACGTGTGAATTATTTATTATTAAGTAGCTATTGTAAAATGCGTGAAGACTTTTTTCAGTTTTTCTTTTGCATGTTTTTTAGATACCTTCACGGGTCAACAGATTTATAACAGTTTATGGGAGTCTGACCCACAAATCACAGGTCACTTGGGAGCTATGATATACATATATATATATATATATATATATATATATATATATATATATATATATATATATATATATATATATATATATATATGTATATATAAAAGCTATAAAAAAAATAAATATTTGTAAGCTAATAAAAGAGACTTTCAAAAATGAAATAACATACAACAAGCTGCTAAAAGAGATTCATCAGATTTGTCTGGACAATCGAACATCCCATTACACAAATGGTCTTTGCTTACACAACTCATGTCTTGAGTACAAGTGAATTGTGTTGCTGGATTGCAAGTGTCTAAACAATATAAGTAACACATTTGTGTTTTATAAGTTTTGTATGCCTCTTTCTACTTTTAAACATTTATACATTTTTAAGTATTTATTAATTTATATATATACATGCTTTTAGACAATCAATAAAATTTGGTAAATAAATAAAAAAATATATTATGATTTTTGTGTGAATAATATTTTTGTGTTTGATTCTTTTATGATTCTGCTTTTGGTTGAAAAAACTTTGAATAATTTACCATTACAACACAAAGATATCTAACATTTGTAAATTTGATGATAGCACAAGACATTTTTTAACCAAAATGGAAAAGCGGCACACAAATAAAGAAGTTACAAATAAAATAGATATAAACAACTACATGTTTCAAATAACAATAAACAACTACATGTTTCAAATAACAATAAACAACTACATGTTTCAAATAACAATAAACAACTACATGTTTCAAATAACAATAAACAACTACATGTTTCAAATAACAATAAACAACTACATGTTTCAAATAACAATAAACAACTACATGTTTCAAATAACAATAAACAACTACATGTTTCAAATAACAATAAACAAATATATGTTTTAAATAACAATAAACAAGAAATTTCTTAACATCAACTGTTTAAAGCTGATTACATCTAGTTAAAAATTGACATCAACTGTTTAAAGTTGATTTCATATAGTCAGAAACTAACATCAATTGTTTAAATTTGATTACAAAAATTTTGGAAAATTAAAAATACTTTTTTGTGCATAGTAATAAAATAAATATACAAACAGCAAATAAAACAATAAAAGATTTTAAGTTGGTTTAAAAAATAAAATAGTTTTCGTTAAACTTTTAATGCCATAGAATAACAAATGTATTATGATAGTTACAACAAACTTGTCTTGATCATTCAAATCTTGTCTTGATCAAATTATTCAAAAAACTTTAAAAAACTGATGAAATATAGAACAGCGTTTTTACTCTTTTCTACAGTCTTAGTTTTATCAAATTTGATACAAAACATGAAAATACTTTTCAACTTTTATGTGATAACGACAACAATTTGTTTTAATAAATGTAAAAAAATTATAAATAAATTGATAAATATAATAAATAAACCTAGTATTTATAAAAAACAATTTTCAAAATGCTTCATTTTACTGTAAAGTCAAACTTAAATGTAATAACTATTTAAAATACAGTGCAGTGCAGATTTAAAACTTCACCAAAAATTCAAGATCTTGCATATAAATAAATTATCATTACTAAATCATTCAACTGCTTAGCATCTTGATTAATACTTCATTTGCAATACAGATACATTTTGTTATTTGATTTAAAAATTTTAGAAAAATAATAGTACAAAATTACAAAATCATTTCAATTTTGTTCAACAAAACTTGATGTGTTGCTTCTTAATTTGATGATGTGTCGTATCTTAATTTGATGATGTGTCGTATTTTAATTTTCGATGGGATTTTAAGTCAAGTGGTCAGTGGCTGGTCATTCTGATAATTGAATTTTCTAGCTGGTGAATCATGGAATTTTTGACTTTGCTCTAAGAATTGGAGCATTATCTTGTTCGAAAAATATCCTTTAAATGATTATCCAACAAATTTCTATATCCTTAAGCATTTAATTTAGTAGTAATAAAGCCAATTGTACTTTTTCCAAGAACTCCTCTGCCTCTCATAGCTCTTCTTTTTGGGATGCTTTCTAATATTGTAATAATTAAAGCAAACCGGACTATCAAGATAGAATTTTTTTTATCAGATCACAAAATTTTTTGCCATTTATTTTTCCAAGTCATGTGGTCCTTTGCCCATTGAAGATAAATGTGTTTGTGCGCTTTAGTTAGTTCTGGAGATGTGCATTTTTTTGCTTATCTAGAAATGCCTGATTTGTTAATTGCACAATTAATTGTTCATGTTAAGCATTTCAATCCCAAATTGGCACTTATTTGAGATCTTGAATTTTTGGTGAAGTTTTAAATCTGCACTGCACTGTATTTTAAATAGTTATTACATTTAAGTTTGACTTTACAGTAAAATCTTAAAGGTATATATATATATATAACATCCACTAAAGGTGGCCAGCCAATAACTTCCCAACATGTGATATAGTGGTTAGTCATTGAGTAGCCACTTTTGGCAGCTGCTACTATTTGTCCATTAAGCAAAACTGCAGTGGACCGCTCAAAATGCCTATATAGGTCCAATGAAAACCCGCTATAAAATATTTACGCTGTATATATATAGAAAAATAACAAAAAAAAACCATAAAGAAATATAAAAAAAAAAAAAACATAAAAAAATACAAGAAATGAAGTACTTTGAACTGAAGTCTTGAATGTGCCTTCTGTCAAATCACCAACTTTTGAAGATGTTGTGGCAAAAGCTATCAATGAGTACTGATAAAAACTATTAGATTTTAAACCTGTTACCTGCACTTGCAATGTGTTGCTGTTTAAAGAAATATTTTGGCAAGTAGTAGGAATATTTAATTCACAATATGTTGCAACATAACTCAAACTGCTAGCATTATAACCAACAAGTATAATAGGAGGGAACCATGACAGTATAAATGAAGACTGCTCAGAAAAAAGTGTCGGTGTAGCTTTTACATTAGATGCTTTTCCTATTGCACCTACAAATTTAAAGATAGTTTTAAACTAAAGCTTTAAAAAAATTAAAATTAGAATAAAAAACTAAAACAAACAACATGTACCTGCCATTGTATTTACAGTCATATTACTAGACCATGGTCCAGGACCACTAGGATTTAACGCTCTTACTCTGAGAATGTACGAAGAATCTGGATTAAGTCCAATGAAAATTGCCTCTTTAGGTCTGTTATCACCACTGTCCTGTATAATACTTTTAACAAGTTCAGCTCCAACCAATTGACACTCATAGTTTGTTATCCTATCCTGTGAAATGTTGATTACATCCCATGCTGTTGTTATACTTGTCCAAGTGGTATTTATGATGCGTAGATTTGATGGGGTATTAACAGGAACAACTAAATAAAAAAAAAAAAATAATTTAAAAAATGATATTTAATTTGTCAGTTTTAATAAATCAAAATAATAAAAAAAAGAAAAAAAAAAGTTGTAAAGAATTATATTGATAAAAATTATTTAAATAAAACTTTAAAAATAAGTAACAAATACAAAGTCTAAGGTTACTCTAAGTATTTTCAGTAAACATCAAAATTTCTTATTACCACAACCAGCTGTAAGAAGTTCATCTGTGTTGTCTATGCAGTCCTGAACCGAGTTACATGTTTTATTCTTTAAAATGCACTGACCATTTGCAACACATGTAAAAAAGCCATCTTGACAAGTGTCTATAAAATTAAAAACTTAATAAAATTTAGTGATAATAAACAAACAAATAAAGTTACCATTGCGCATTAAACATTAATTCTGTTTTCAAAGAAAACAATAATAAAAAAGTGTATTTACTTAATATACAGAAAACCTTACTCACCCAACTCACTTCAACCTTACTTACTTCAACCTTACTCACCACAACCTTACTCACCTCAACCTTACTCACCTCAACCTTACTCACCTCAACCTTACTCACCTCAACCTTACTCACCTCAACTTTACCAACT